CTGTTGCTCTGATTGGGTGTCTTTTTCTACCTTGCCTTTCAAATTCCTAATTCAATCCTCTGCTTCATCTAACCTGTTTATTCCTTTCAGTGTATTTTTTATTTTAGACATTGTATTCTTCATTTCTGACTAGCCCTTTTTTATGGTTTCTATGTCCTTTTTCATGCTGCTGAGCATCCTTATAATCATTACTTTCAACTTTATATCTGCTAAATCACTTGCTTCCATTTCATTTAGCCCTTCTTCTGGAGAATTCTCTTGTTCTTTCATTTGGGGCCTGTTCCTTTGTCTCATCATTTTGGCTGCCTGTTTGTGTTTGTTTCTATGTATTAGGTAGATATGCTATGACATTCAGTCTTGTTAGAGTAGCCTTATGAAGTAGGTGTCCAGTGGACCCACTGACACAGTCTCCCTGATCACCTGAGCCAGATGCTCTATGAGTGTCCTTTGTGCATGTTATATGGGCCTTCCTGTTGTAACTGAGTCTTGATTGCTCTTGGTCCATTCATACATGGACTGACCCTCAGGCTGGCTGACTGTGAGGCTCAACCCCCAACACAGATTGCAAGGTGCTATGCAGGTGCTGATCACACAAAGCAGAATTCGCCTCAGAATGTTTTGGTGCCTTGCTGAGATCTCTCCATGGATATGATTCTTGTGACGCTTATTGGATCTTGTTCCGGATATGTTGGCCCAGGGCCTCTTCAGAGGGACTCTGGTGCAGACCTATATCAGATGTGGCCTGTGACTGGACCTGGGCAATCTGTTTGGAGATATCAGCAATCCATAGTTTATGGTTGCCTCTGCTGGGACTGGGTACATGTGGAAAGGACCAAGCTGCACACCAAGGACAGCTTTTACCAGCACTGGGTCTGTGGTTGAGTCAGCAAAAGTCTCAAAGCATCCATAGATCCCTTCTGCCCACAGGCTGCCTGTTAGACTTAGTCATTGAAAGATCCTCCAGCTGTACTCCTCAGCAGGCCTTAAGGTCCACAGGTAGGGTGAGAGGGATTCCAGCTGGTGGAGCTATTGCTTCTCCCAGGCTGATGCTGCATGGAGGGGAGCACTCAGTCTCAATGTGGCTTTTTCTAGAAGTCCTTCGTTAAAAGGCTTCTCTCCAGCTAGTCTTCAACTGGTTATTCAGAATGGTTTTTCTATAATTTAGTTGTCTTTCCAGTTGGTCCTGGGAGGAGTTTAGTGTAGCTTCCAACTACTCTGCTGCCATCTTGGATTCTTACAGTTTTTTTTAAACCAATGTATTTCACCAAATCAAAAGAATAAGGAAGAAAAACCTTATGATCATTTCAATACAGAAAAAGCATTTAATGAATGTTAACACCCATTATAGAAACTTTTAGCAAATTAGGATTAAAAAGCAATCTAATTAAGTGCACCTATGACAACCCTCTACTAACTTTGTACTTAATGTCAAAATATTATAGGATTTCCCCTTTAGCTTGCCAAAAAAGGCAAGAATGCCTACTCTCAGCACTTTTATCCGGCATCTTACTTATGATCCTAGCTAATACATCAAGTTAAGAAAAAAAAAAAAGTGGTCTAATTTTCATAAAGGAATGAGTAAAACTATCTTTCTACACAGATTACATGACTGTTACATAGAAACTCTTAAGAAATCTATAAAACAACTCCTATAACTTTAACATAGTAACAGAATATAAGATAAATATACAAAAATCAACCATATTTGCATATACTAGCAAATACTAGAATAGCAAAGGCACTCATGGAAAAAAGGAACAAAATTATACTACCTGACCTCAAAACTTATTACAAAACTATACTAACCATGACTATGCAGTAATGGCCTAAGCACACCCAAATAAATCAATGGAATAGAATAGAGAGCCTTAATGAACAAACTGAACTAACAAATAAAAGAGAGACAGACTCATATATAGAGAACAAGTTGACAGCTCTGGGATGGGAGGTTAGGGAATGGAGGGTTTGAGCAAAAAGGAAAAGAACTCCATGGACATGAACAGAATTGTGGTGACTGCAGGGGAAGGGGGTAAGTTGAGGTGGGTACAAGGGATAAATAGTAATGGGAAAAAATACAATAAAAAATGAACATTAAAAAAAAAAAAAGATTTGAGACCCTAGAATAAGTACATATGTTTAAGTCACTTGACTTTCTGACAAAAGGCACCAAAGCAATGCAGTGGGAAATAGAAAGTATTCCAGCGTATGGTGATGAAACCACTTGCCATCCATACAGAAAGAAAAAAATTTAATCTCTAATATAGACTATATATAAATGTTAATTTAAAATGGATCTTACACCTAATGTGGAAACAAAAATTAGGAAGCTTCAAAGAGAAAGAAGATTATTTTCATGACCTGAGGGTAGAGATAGACAAAGGTTTTCTAGACAAAACACAGAAAGCAGAAATCATAAAAGAAGAGCATGTATTTTACAAAGGACCTGTATAAAGAACATATAAGAAGTCTTACAGTTCACTAAAACCCCCCCAAAACAAAAAACAAACAAAAACAACCCTGGCTGGTGTGGCTCAGTGAATTGGGCACCAGCCTGCAAACCAAAAGGTCACCAATTCGGGGCCCAGTCAGGGCACATGCCTGGGTTGCAGGCCAGATCCCCGGTTGGGGGCATGTGAGAGGTGACCAACTGATGTTCCTCTCCCTCCCTTTCTCCCACTCTTTTCCTCTCTCTAAAAGTAAACAAATAAAATCGTTAAAAAAAAACGAATTGGAAAAAAAAAAAGGCCAAAACTTTGAATGGTTTATAAAGGAAAATATAATGACAAAAAATACATAAAAAAGTACACAGTATCAATAGCCATGAGGGAAATGGGTATTAAAGCTACATTGAGACATCACTACTTATAGCCATCATTACTAAAATTAAAATAACACTAAACAACTGGAGAATAAGGATAAACTGGTATTCTCCTATTTTGTTAGTGGGAGTGTAAAACAGTACAACCACTTTGGAAAACAAATCTATTTGATATACAAAAACATGGATGAATCTCAAAAACACTATGCTAAATTGAAAGAAACTTCACACAAAAAAGTATGTATTGTATATTTCCATTTATATGAAGTCCTAGATGAGGCAAAACTAACCTATGTTAAAATAATCAGAACAATAGCTGTCTTCAGAAGTAGGTGGAGGTGGGACTGACTGGGAGTGGGAATGAGGTAACACTCAAGGATGAAGATACTATTGTATATCTTAAGAGAGGTACAGGCATTTGCTAAATCACACAAAACTGTACAGTTAGGATTTATGCATATAACTTCAGGTAAATTTTATTTCAAAATATAAACACCAAATTTAACTTATGACTGAGTATTGAAATGTTGAGGGACTAAAGGTTATTGATGCCTGAAACTTTTTCTGAAATGCATTTAAAAAGCTGACTGATGAATAAATGTATAGGGAGATATGCATTTGATTAAGCAACAGAGTGACTTCATTGTAAGTTTGAAAATTTTTTTAAAATGCTGGAGCAGGGAAAAATAAGGAAGACCTTTATATATTAATATGAAGAGATCTCCAAGATACAGTGCTATATGTTTCATATATTTCACAATTTACAGAAAACACAATATATACCCTTCTAAATTATGTCAATTACTGGAATACCATATGACCCAGGTATCTTCCACTGTAATATCACTCAAATAATTTATGTAGGTAAAAAAAACCCCAAAACCCTAAAGATGATTAAGATTAAATTTAAAAACACTGAACTCTTCAACCTAAGAAATGCTATTTTTTAAAGCCTCACCCAAGGATAATTTTTATTGCTTTTTTAAGGAGAGGATATTGCTTTATAGAGAGAGAGAGAGAACAAAAGACATCAATGTGAGAAAGAAACATCGACTGGTTGCCTCCCATATGCGCCCCAACCTGGAATTGAACCTGCAACCCAGGTAAATGCCTGACTGGGAACTGAACACATGACCCTCTGGTGCATGGGACCACACGTCAACCAACTGAGCTACCTGGCCAGGGTTAGAAAAACTATTTTTAAAATATTTTAGCATTAAGTATGAAAGTTGTTTAAAATGAATAATTCTCAGCTAGAAATTACATCAAATATTTCCAATTAACCTGTAGTACTACTTAGCACTACTGAGAAGATACTATTAAGTAGCTTAGATTTATTACTATTTCATTAAACTTTGATTTTCAGATTTTCTATAATACAATAGTACTTACCATAAGTAAATTCATCCTACCAATGACAGATCACTTTTTAAAAACGGTAAATACAAATTTACATTAAAATTGATTTCCATTTATTATCCTTATGGTGAACGGAGTCATATTATATGTTTTTGTAGGTAATAAAATAACTTTAGTGACTAATGAGAAAGGAAAAACAATCAAGAAGGGATTCTAAAAGGAAAAGAGCTGAACATTTTCCAATTGTGTACTGGAAATATTAGGAGTAACACTTCGTAAAATATGTGATATGGAGTAATACTTTGTAAAGTATGCGACTGTCTCACCACTATCCTGTACATCTGAAACCAATACAAGATATTGAATGTACACTGCAATTGAAAAATAAAATAGGTCTTGGCCAGGCGGTTGGAACACTGTTCCCTGTACCAAAAGGATGCGGATTCGATCCCTGGTCAGAGCATGTACAGGAGGCAAGTGATTAATGTTTCTCTCTCACATCAGTGTTTCTGTTTCGCTCTCTGTCTCTCTCAAATCAATAAATAATATATCCTTGGGTGAGGATTAAAAAAAAAAAGAAAAAGAAAAAAAAAAAGAACACATTTTTTCTATGTAAAAAATAAGATTAACCTTTTTTGTTCACAGAGGGAAATAATATAAAATTAAAAAATGAGACAGTTTCTAATAACCAAAGGCTGCAAAAATCATAAAAGTAAAACAAAAATCTAATAGGATTAGAAAATAGGGCACTTGGAATACCCAATAACATATATGACACGCCAAAAAATTTAAGAATTTTAAATATGATTTTTAAAAAACTTACCCTTTCTGCTTCAAAGGTAATTCAAGTTTAAATATGGTAGCATCATTAACAACTGCTTTATATGCCTGTAAATAATTTAAAATAAAACATTCTTTTTGATATTTAAAACATAGGTAAATTGTTACAATTCCAAAAATACATAAAAATATAAATTAATCCTTATTTTTAATGGTATATCTGGCCTGACAGGATTTTTCAAGTCAATGACTTCAGCATCCTTTCTGTTATTTTATGATTATCATTACAAGTGGGATATTAAGGCTACAACACCATTTTCTCTTGTCCACACATTATCCTGGGTAACATTTTCATATTATCACTTTTTCTGTCTAAACCTCCAATACTTCTTCCTCCATATACACTCTTGGCTGATGATGTGGCTTCTTATTTCATTAAGAAAACTTTAATAATCAGAATTCCCTCTTATTTCTCTTGCATCACCAATTTCTTCCTTCTCCACTGGTTCTGCAGCCTCAGCATACAAATACATTGTCATTTTTTAAATCTTAAAAATCCTACTTTGGCTTTGTCCACCCTCAGCTACCGCCTCATTTCTCTCCCTAAGCTAAACTCCCGGAGGAACTTCCTAACTCCCTTTCTCTAATTTCTTTACTGCCATTCTTATTAGAAAACATTCTAACCAGGCTTTCACACCACCACTCCACCCTAATGGTTAATCCCCATCTTATTTGGACCTTTAAGGAGCATTTTAAAACAGCAGATCATGCCTCCTTCCTCAAAGTGCTTTTTCTACTTGTCTTCTAGAATAACATATTCTCCCGGTCATTCCATTCATTGTCCTCTACCCTCATGAGAAATGGTTTCTCATCTTTCTGATAACTAAATTTAGAATGCATCAGAACAGTCCTTGGATCTTGTTTCCATTTTGCTGGTGATCATACTTAGTGTCAGTGCTTTAAATACCATCCATATGCTGGAACTCCCAAATTTATTTCTTCCAGGCCCATTCCCTCCCTTAACCTCCAGACTTGGCATTGCCACGTGGATGTTTAATAAACATTTCAAAGTTAACTTGTCTAGAACTAAGTTCTTAACCTCTCTGCAACCATCTCTCCCAAACATGTGTCTTCCAAAGTCTTCCCTATTTCAGCAAAAATATGCTTTTAATTGATCATAACAAAAATCTGAGTGCCATCCTGGAATGATCTATCACATTCCACATCTGATTCATTACCAAATCTTGTATAGTCTGTCTTTATAATGTAACCACAGAATTCAATCACTTTTGACTACTTATACCCACTATTGTTCTGGGCCAAGCTTCCATGATTACCTAATTGAATTACTTAAATAGGTTCCTAACTGATATTCTTGCTTCTTCCCTTGCCCCATTTAGTCTTTTTTTTTTTGCAGCAGCAGCAGCAGCCACGTGATCCTGTTAAAATGTTAAGTCACATTGTTAAACATTGACAACATTGTTAAAATGTTGTCATTCTGTTCCAAAGCTTATAATGACATTCCAAACCCTACTCAGTAAAAACCATGGCTCACAGAGTCTTACATGATCTGGCTTCCTGTTACCTCTTTTGACTTTATTTTCTCCCCCTACCACTCATTCAATCCAGTCTGGCCAAAATGACCTTTTTCCTATGTTCCTGAAACATAACTGATGTATTCCTGCCTTAGAGTCTTTGCTGCCTGCTGTCCCATCCAGTTGGAACACTCTCTTTTCAGATAGCTGCATGATTTATTCTTAGTTACCCTCAATCTTGATTTAAACATCACCTCAAAGAAGCCCTTGCAGGTTATTTAATTTAGTATTCCAAACCACCTCATTACCATCATACTCCCTTAACCCCTTTCCTACTCTATCTATAGCTAACTCCATCTATCTAACTCTATCTGTCCACCTTAAAAAAAATGGATGAGAACAAAAGCCTACTGGAGGAAGCTGATATCTTTTTAAGAGTCACAGGAAAAAAAAAATCTAACTTGGGAAATAAAGAAAGGTAGTTGAAGAGGTGTAAAAACCAACAGTAATTTCTATGGGTTAGTGATGTCTTAAAAAGACAATACTATGTTTTATTATCATTACCCTTTTCTAGTGAGGCTGGAAAAAGAGGCAGGGAAAGCAAAGATAATAATGACACAACTCTCACAGAAGCCCAGTCAAAGGACAGGGGAATCAATTCTGCTTGGGATAGGATGGGAGAAGCACGGTATTAAGGAAGTTTCAGGTACATACTTTAGGCTGGGTCATAAAGAAAATATGAGTAGGATTTCAATAATCAATAATATTAAAAAACAAAAATATTATTGGAAAAATGAGAAAGAGCAACTTTCTGGCTAAATTCTAGTTCACTAGTGTATCCAATGCTTATAAAAACATACAATATGCCAAATACATTAAATATGGTAGCCCTTGACTGATGAAAAAGATCACAGTTCCTAGGTTTTTAGTTTGTGATTTAATAGCATAATGATGCAAGTTTCTTTTTTTAATCATTTTTATTGTTTTTCTATTACAGTTGTCCCAAATTTTCCCCGTTTGCCCTCCTCCACCCATCCCACCCAAGCAAGTTTCTTATTAAAAGTAAATCATGACATGTTATATGCAAAGTAAGTTTAAAATGCATATCCTTTGTTTTCCATAAACAGAATCATGCTATATCTTTACTGCACTTTGCTATTATTCAGTAAACAATGTAGCTTTCCAAATCTAAAAAAAAGTAAACAATAACAGCAGTGTTAACATACAAAAATATATATACCTTATCTCTTGCAGTAAGAAATCGTGGATCATCTTGAAAAGCTTCTTTGACAAGTTTACTAAATCTATTAAATAGTGTAAGTAACTGCTCGACATATTTCTCAGAGTCCTAAAAATAAAATGTTTTATATTTGAGTTTTTAAAAAAAGAAAATAAACATAATTTTAATAAAACACTATAGCCTTAAAATTTAGGAAATTTTATGAAAAATTGTTTCCTTAAAATTTAAAGGTGTTCCAACATCACTGTTTTGCGATTGAGTACTATTTTAAATACTCAAACCTCTATTTAAAAAATAAATTTGATTTATATCTATCATTGCCATTGAGGAAAACTTACAGTAGTGATAGTTTCAGCAGCTGCTACCATATCTGCAAGGCCAGCACTAATGATATGTTCCTCCAAGTCTTTCAACATTGGCTCTATCCCATTAGGAACTTTATCCATCAATGAAAACATTAAGTGTAATTCTGAAAGGATAGAACACACTCATGTAATCATTTCAACCAACAGAATATATTTTCTCTTTGATTTGTATCATGGGTCTAGAATGCCTATGATAATAAAAGTTTGGAGAAATACTAGTTTGAAGTTGACAGTATCTTGTGGGTGCAATTAATTCAGGAGTTGTTATAATAAGTACTATAATTTCCTGATCTTCTTTGTCAGTCCAACAAAAATTATTTTTAAAAGAAACTCTAATTAAAAGTGATCACACCGAGGCGGGAAAGACGGGAGGCTGGGGGGCATATGTAGTAGTGTCAACAATAAACAATTTTTCAAAAAAATCATCACATACTGCAAAACCCAACTCTTTTAAAAGGTGAGTCATTGGACGGTCAACGCGTGGAATATTTTTTATTCTAAGAAGTACAAAATTTATACAGAATATTAGTACATTTTATGAAGTAGATACAACATTAAATACACAACCATATCAATAAGGAGTAAAAAAAAATGTCATCCAATGATTCAGAGTAATGGTTATAAAATAAAAGTATATTAGAGTTAATGTAAAGCTGTATTCATACAGAACTTTCCAGCATTCAAAAGCATTTCCTCATGTTGTACCACTTGACCTTCACAAAAATCTTACCTCACAGAATTGGTTACTACTAAGTAAATCCTTTGGGAGGGAGTCCAAAGTGAATCAGATATATCTCTACTTGGCCTGGCATACAGAAATTCAAATACTTCATTTATGCCAATAAGCAGTCTTACTTTTCACTATAAAATTACTTCTAAAAAGTGTATCAACTTAACTGAATTGAAATGCATACTTTAAATGCAACTAGAAATTAAATGGGACCTTGCAGCTATACACAATAAAGTCTGGAAAGGAATACATCAAAATGTTAGAAGTGGTTTTCTCTGGGTAGTAAGGATATGGACCATTTATTTGGTTTTTTTTTTTTTTTGGTTGTAATGTACTTGCCACCCCCTCAAATATATCTTTATTTAAGAAAACATTTAAGTAATTTAAAAAACACTTCTATAATCTTAAATTATAACATATTTAGGGGGTCAGGGATGATGATTAACATGGAGTGTTTTATAACTTTCTAAAAATATTTGCTGCAAGAATCCACATAAGTCAAATACCTAGTTCTATCTTATACCATACGTTTACCATTTACATTAGCCTTTCAAAGAAGAGTCCTACTTCGGAAAATTGAAATTCACACATGCATTCACGCACATACTGATAACTAAGGGGGGAGGAATGTTTAACATATAAGTTTATAACCTTTTTTACAGTGTTTCTACCTGTGCTAAACATTCTATCCTTTTCTTTAAGCACGATTTACTTTAACAAACATACCTATGTATAAAAGAGTGATCTAAGAGCAGTTTATTAGAAGAGATCTGCCTCAAATATACCTTCTTAAAAGATCATGAGAACTTTAAGTGATATTTTACCTACTTTCAGTTTCATTTCGCTTGATCATGCCTTGGCATTCTGCTAAGATAGTCTCTTTAAAGGATGTCACCAGGGCATTTACACAGCATTCCATCAGCTGAAATACATCAAAAATTGGTTAAGGCTATAATAAGTATAAATTTATTTCACTTTGTTTCGTTTTATAGGTCCATAAGACTATATTTTTCAATAACAGCAAAAAGTTAAGTATACAAAAAGAAGATTTTACTTACCTTTATCATAGTATAGTTCCCTTTAAGGAAAAGGGTCTAGAACTCAGGTTCTTTTTAGAAATTTTAACAAAAACCTCCAAAGGAGGGTAGAGAAAAAATAACACTCATACAAAACAAAATTAAAAAATAAACTTGGACAAACTCGTCTGAAGAGAACACGTGTTGGAATTAGATTCTAAAATTCTAAAAAGATTTATACATTTATTCAGTAAACCATCATTGGATGCCTACTATGTATGGGCATCAAAGAAGTGTTTAGGAGACTAAGAATAAGATATTTAGAAGAGATCACTAATTAAGGGTGAGGAGGGAGGCAAACATAGATTAATAAATATGACTCAGTTAATTGGCAAAACACACATACATACATACTCCCAAAAAAACAGATGCAATTAAAGGAACTACATACTTCTTTCTGGGGAAGTTGAAAAGGTCTCATCCATAAGATGAAGTTTAAGTTGAATCTTGAAAAAATAAGTACAAGTCCAAAATGAATTGAATATTCTAGGAATAATAAGCTAAATGTGATAGGGATGAGACAGACAGTGAAGAGAAAGCTGGAAAGGTAGGCTGGAGCCAGATTATGAATGAAAAAAATCTATGGTTTGGGATTTTATTCTATTGGTAGGGGAAAAAGAATCAAAGGTTTTAAAGAGAGGACACATGTAATAAGCTTCTATTTCCCCCAAGTCATTTGGAAAAGATCAGTCTAATGGCAGCAAGGTAGGTGATACTGGGTGGTAGGTTGTAGAGGGAGTGGCAAATGAGGCTGTTGAAATATTTCAAGTAAGACGGCGAGGGTTTAGTGTTCTATATGGCCCTCAGGACTTGTGTCATGTAACTCTTTATTCTTTTGGCAAGTATCAAATACAGTAAGTGCATCGTTAGTACTAAAAGCAATGTAAGGCTGATGTATCTCTTCCGAAAAACAGATCATCCATCTGTATTAAGAAAAGAGATTACGTGTGCCTTAAAAGTTCTTTGTTAAAAATTCCTCTTGGGAACATAATTTTGATAAGTATTTAAGTTTCATTTAGGTAATAAAGACTCATTATACTGTTCTTTCTACTTGTAAATATAGTTTAAAATTTCATAATAAAGTTTTTTTCAAGTCCCTCTTTGAGAATTATGCTCAAATCTATGTATTTCAATTCCTGTCCTATGAAAAACAATACACATACAGAGTTGTTGAGGAATTTTTGTCTCACCAACTGCTGAGTAACCTCATTTTATACCATTCTATATGTGGAAAATACACGACTAACTACTCCCGCCTTCAGCAGCAAAACGAGACTAAGAATCGGTAAATTAACTAATATATGACTAATGGAGAAGAAGGAGAAAGTGCAACTGAAATAAACTCCAAGACTATCTCTTCATCTGTTTCCTATTTCATTAAAAATGTTTACACTTGAAGGAGGACAGAGATGACCCATGGACATATGAAAAGATGCTCAACATCACTAGCCATCAGAGAGATGCAAATTAAAACCACAATGAGGTATCGCTTCACACCTGTCAGAATGGCTATCATTAATATATCAGCAAACAAGTACTGGTGAGGTTGTGGAGAAAAGGTAACCCTAGTATACTGTTGGTCAGATTGCAGATTAGTGCAGACATTGGGAAAAACACTACAGAATTTGCTCAAAAAATTAAAAATGGACCTGCCTTTTGACCTAGAGATTCCACTGCTGGTAATATACCCTAAGAATCCCACAGCACCAATTCAAGAGAACTTATGCATCCCTATTTTCATAGCAGTGCTATTTACAATAGCTAAGTGCTGGAAACAGCCTAAGTGCCCATCAGTAGATGAGTGGATCAAAAAACTGTGGTACATTTGTGCAAGGGAATACTACACAGCAGAAAGAAAGAAGGTGCTCCTACTTTTTGCAGCAGCATTGGTTGGAACTGCAGGCTATTATGCTAAGTGAAATAAGCCAGTCAGAGAAAGACAAATACCATATGATCTCACTTATAAGAGGAATCTAATGAACAAAATAAACTAATGAATAAAATAGAAGCAGAGGCATGGAAACACAGAACAGACTGACAGGTGCCAGAAAGCGAGGGGCAGGGGTGGGTTAAATGGTGGAACGAAGGGGAAGGGATCAGTCAAAGAACATGTATGAATGACCCACGGACATGGACAATGGTGTGGGGATTAACTGGGAACAAAGAGTGGGCTGGGGGGAGGAGGAAAAAGAGGGAAAAATTGGGACAACTCTAACAGAATAGTAATTTTTAAAAAAGGAAGAAGAAAAAGGCAATTACAGAAAAAAATTTTTACACTTGAACATATTCCAGTTCAGCACTAGTCCAGCTTTTTGAAAAAAAAATAATACGGAACAGGACCAAAAAAAAAAAAAAAAAAATCAGAGTACATCACAAATAATACAATTAATATTATTTCATAAAACTTTTGTTTCAAGTATTTGTAAATGAACATAATACACAACATTAAATGTATTTCCTATTGTGTGTTACATTGAGGATTAAAAGGAGAGACTAAATTGACAAAATAATTGAAGTAAACAGAGCAGAATTTGGTTAGCTGTTTAGATGAAAAAACTTAGGGAAATAAAAGGCTGATGAAGCAGTCCCTACATTGTGTGATTAAACAAATGATAATAACAGGTATGTTTTAAAAAGCACTCTATACCAAGTTTTAAAAAGCACTTACTCTGTACCAAACACAAGCATTGTGCTAAATAGTTTACATACATTATCTCAACCCACATGAAATTATCAAGCAGATATTTAACATATGAAGAAACAAGCTTAGACAGGCAAAATAACTTGTAAATGCTGTATAGTTACTTTATAAGACCTTGAGCTATACTATGATGTCACATATGTGACTCCACAGCATACATTAACAGAGCAAGTATATACTTAGTAATGACTACATGCTCTGAACTGAGTTAAGTGTTGTGAGAAATAGCAAAGGATAAAACATGGTTTATATGCTCAATGATTTTACAATCCAGCTGGGAAATACAACTAATTACATATCTAAAAATGTGTACATACTTCATATATAACAGAGGTATATGAAAAGAAATTCAGCCTCGCTAATAAAACAAAGAAGTGGAACTAAATCCATCATTACTACACTATAAACTTTATAAGGACAGAGACTGTTCTGTCCATATTATGTATTTATTCATGGCCTCACACACAGTTGGTGTTTGATAAAATAACACAACAAAGCATTCTACAATATGTTATTAAATCAAGTGGCAGAAACTATAAATAGGTAGAGTGGGAGATCAAATAAGAGAAAATTGGTAAAAACCCAGAGAATTTGGGGCAATTTTATTGCACAATGGGCTTTAAGGATTCTGAAGGATTTAATAGGCAGAAAAAAGTAAGAAAAGTAGTAAGTAAAACATTAAAAAAAATGTTATTCAGAAATGAATCAAAGAAAAAATGAACAGAATGAGGTATATGAATGAGGAAATATTTTTTATTGGAATAAAATAACTCTTGCAGGACAGTATTAAATTAGAAAAATAAGTTAAGGTCAATTATAAAGGGTCTTGAAAATCAGAGATAGGATATGATACTATGGTTTTTGAATAAAGAAGTAAAATAATGAAAGTGATATTTATAAAAGATTAGCCTGAACACACAAAAGAAGAAATACAAATGGTCCATAATATGAATAAAGGTGCCCAAGCTTCATTAATAATTTTCCATATGGACATAGAAATATTGTATAATACTAGGAGATAAGCAAAATTTATCACTGACAAAACCCAGATCAGCAAAGATAAAGAGGCACACTGTTGATGGGAGTAAGAATTACTAAAATATTTCTGAAGATCAGTTTGGTGTTATATTGCAATTTTTAAAATGTGCATACTCTTCGTTTTGGCAATCTCATTTCCAGGAAATTTTTATTCCAAGAGAATGCAACATGTGAGAAAGATGTATGCATACAGATGTTAAAAAAATATATAGCATATATGGATGTTCCAGGAAGTATTATTTGTAAGAAATAAACTATAATAATAAGTAAGAATTAAAATGCCCATCATTAGAGGATTGGTTAGATAAAAATATATTATAGTACATATATGATAAAATATATACAGGTATTAAAAATAATGTGATACAGAAGGGTTTAGAGTAAAAATGCATGATGGCATTTATTTCTTTTAAAATGCTAGAGAAAAGAAAGAGAATGGAACGAAGGGACGGAAGGATGGGGAAAAAGAGGGATCAACCAAGCAAACATGACAAAATGATGAGCACTGTTAAATGAGGGCTGTGTACAGTGGATAGGGTTCATTATACTATTTTTTCAAATATAAATATTTGAAAACTTTCATAACAAAGCTTTTTGAAAAAATAAAAAAGAGTAATTATGGCATAAATCCCTACGTGTTGAAAAATCCTTTAGAAAACTTTTCTTTTTTTTTAGAATTTTGTTTATTTTCAGGTAGAAAGAATGGGAAGCAGAAAGAGAATGAGAGAAATATTGATATGTGAGAGAAACATCAATCAGTTGCGTCTCGCAAGCCCCTAACTGGGGACCTGGCACACAACCCAGGCATGTGCTCTGACGGAAATGAACCAGCAACCTTTTGGTTCGCAGTCCAGCGCTCAATCCACTGAGCCACACCAGCCAGGGCTAGAAAACAAAATATTTTCTGTAGGCAAAAAGAAGAAACGGAGATTGCTTGATAGAGTTCTCTACTTATTTCAAATGAGTTTTATCTTAACAAGTGGGTCAGTTCTTTGAGGGCAGAGACCATGTTATTCCTCTTTTGTATTACTTCCCCTTCATTTACCAAAGTACTATATACAGTCAACCCTAAATATATTCTTGTTATTTGAAAAATACATCTTGAAT